TTTGGGATGGAAGTGTGATTAAGTTATTAATATTTCTTTTAATTATACTGACTGGGTCTCACTGCTACAATGTTTAGGACCTTATAAGTAAGATAAAAAGAGCAGTCCTCTTTCCCCTTAGCTATTTAATGTGGAATTTTTCAGAAAATGCAGTGACTCCAACCCAGTGACTGGGTTTTGGAGAAAATGGCATTTGCTTGGTTGCAGCTCTGAGGTATTTACAATCCAAATAAGGGCGAATAAGGATCTAAAATCCTGCACGGAGGCAGCTTTTGTTTGTTGGTTTTTCAAATATTGTGTTCATAACTTGGCCGCTCAGTGTGTGAGGGCTCCAAGACCCAAGGTTTGGCTAAGAGCTTCATGTGAAGATCAAACAATGGGAAAATGGAGGAGAGGACATGTGACTGTGAGTAACCAAAACGGGTGGTTAGCCAAAGTTCAGATGATATTACACAAAAATTACAGGATGCAAAACCTTTTGGTTCCTGGAGACAAACACAACAATGGTGGAGTATAATAAGAAATGTTTAGATGTTGAAGGCTTGTATTTGCTGCTCATCCAAGTAGTAAAATATTCAATTTCACTGCTTGTAGTGAGCACTTGCTGTAGCACAAAGTGATAGCAATAAATGATGCTGAGGTGGAAGCCCCTCCTTATTTGCTCTGCTCTTCAAGGGTGGAGGTAGCACCTGTAAGGAAGTGATAGAGGAAGGGCAGCATGTTGTGTTTTGAAAGCAGAAGTGAGAAAGCCTGATACAGGCAGCTTTAAAATGGAGGGGCAGGGGATGAGAGGGAGAAGGGCCCTGAAATCCTTGTCCATAGGAGAAGACAGAAACTTTATTGTTAGCTAACAAGGCCAGAATTTTACTGTATCTCTGTAATAGTCATATAGGGAAGAAGGTATGGGAATAGGTTTTAAGTAGTGCTGGTTTTAATGCAGCTGCTATTTTATCGCCTGGTATCCATTTTGTAGGGGTCAGATTCTTCTTTTCACCTGTTTCCTCTGAAGGGGGAAGCATCCCTCAGGGCTGCAGAAGACATCAACAGAATTTTAATATGTGGTCTGTGCTTACAGTTCATGTCTGCCAAAAATGGAGTTTATTCTTAACAGAGTCAACATTTATGGTTTAATTAATTGTTAGATTAAAATGTTACAGTATTTTTGTCTTCCTCTGATTCATTGTCTTAAGATACAGCAAAACAGAACTGTTCTATAGATGCGTTTGATGTGCCAAGGTGAAGGATTGGAAAAGAAGGAAACCAGATGGAATTCCCCCCAGCTTGTTCCTTAGCCAGTTCCAGAGATGAGGAAGCAAAGGGACAGACTGTCCTGCCTCCAGCCCCACAGAGTCCCAGCTCCAAGAGACCTGTGCTCACCACCAGGGCAGATAACATCTCCTCAACAAGTGCTTGTCATGGCCCTGGAAGCAAGAGCCATTTTTGTCCTTGCTCATTAGGCACCATGAGGCTGAACACACTCATACATTTGCCCTCAGTATGACTGTTGGATTATTTATCCTGCTTTTTTTCCAGGGTGAACTACTTTAGGGTGGAAGGAAAGTATTTGCTTTATCATTTAAGTATTGATAAATACAGAACAGTATCTGTGATGAGTATTGATTTCATTTAACTTTGGGCACTTTGTTATTCTGATGCCTTAAAATGCCCAAGCCTGTAACAATCAGCTTCCCAATACAGTCAGCAGTTTGCCAGCATCCCAGCAGGGCTTGTTCCCGACTGCTCGGGTGACATTTGCATGCCCAGGAGTGGAGGGGGATGGGAAGCCCCCCTGCCTGGTTTGAAAACTCTTATTAATCGTCTTGCTGCTATCTCTAAAAACAAGCAGCTTATCATCACTCCCTTTCCCAGCAACAAAACCCACAAATGTAGCTGTAAATCATAAACCCCAAGGTATATAAATATATAAAACGAACCCCGAAATATATTAAGTGGATAATCGTGGGATCAGTAAAATGGCTTTATTTGCTTTTGTCTTCTTTTCGTTTGTCTGTGCTGGGGTGAGTGCTCAGGCTTTTGTGTAGTTTCTGGGAGGAGACATTGTTTTTAAGCACAGGAGAATCCAGTTGTAAAGCCTGCCCTCAGCAGGGCTGCTTTCAAAGGGGAACTGACCCTTGCCTTTGGAAAAACAATTTTAACTGTCTTGGCAGGCAGCTCGCTGAAGGAGATGGTGAGTAGGCAGAAATGTTTTGCCAGCTCCAGGTAATTTAGTTGGAATATTCTGAGCTATCTGCAGGCAGCAACATCAGGCTGTGAAATTAGGCGTGGGGGTGGGGGGCATATGTCTTTGTTGCTGAGAGTGTTCCAAGTGTCTGTTAACAAAATGTTACGTGGATTTAATTGTTTATAGATCAAGTTTTAAGAACGTTTTTTCATTTTAGTAATGTGCTCAGCAGTCAACAGTGCAAATTCATTGGCAGCATGCACACCCCTGGCTGCCTTTGTTCTCTTGGGCACTACTTTTTGGGAGGTTGGGTAGTGTCCTTTGAGCCCTCCAGAGAGGTTTTTGTTGTCCTCTCCCTGCTGGGCTTCCCCACTTTACCCCACACACTGTTCATCTACACTCTGCCCAGCTCCAAGAATTACTACCTTATTTTTAAGCAGCTCAACAACTGCATGTGCCTGGCAAGTTTGCCTTCAGCTTGTTCCTTGAAGGCTGTCCAAGAAAAATGGATGGGAATGGATTGCTGCCTGTAGATTTAAGCCCCAAATTTGCTCTGGAGAGGCCGTGGGAAAGACAACTACTGGGAGCAGAGTGTGGCCTGGGAGAATTAGGGCTGTGGACGCAGATGATGTATGGGCTGGCAGTTGGGGCACCAGAATCAAAGCACGTTCTCTTGGCAACAGGTTTTTGTCAAGATGGTCTCTCACAGATTTGCATTACTGGATACGAACACTCGTTCCAGAGGGATTTTTGGAGGCTGGTGCCTGGCTTGTAACGTTCCAACCAGCGCTCCGTTACAGCTGCCGTTTGCTCTTTCACATGCTGGCTTTCATTGCACTTCTTGGAGGAGCAGAAGTTGGTGTCAGTAGAAAGCAGGAGGGTGACAACATGTTTCTCTTGGCAGTGATGCTGGGTCTTCCTGCTCAAAGTCATTGTGGAGCTGGGATGCAAATAAAAGCTGCCAGATGCTGGGTGTTGGCTGGGCAACCAGAGGGGTTTCAGTGGCCCCGTGGGGCCTGGGAAAGGAGCAGGGGTGACATCTGGGGTCTGAGCCACCTCCTGGGGCTTCACAGGGTGGTGACACTGCGCAGTGCCCAGGGAAGGTAGGAGAACCCACTGAAGCAGCCCCCATCTGTGGCTTTTGTGCTCATCTCTGCTGCAGGCATCTCCTGTTTGCTCTTGAGTCTGCAGCTAAAAAGTCCATTTTTTCCTTTCCAGATCAGTGCAGGCAGTGGTGGATGTTAGTGCTGCATCCTGGGCTGTTGAGTGCCCAAAAATGGTCCACCATGTTTGAAATGTCAGGAATTTGAGGTTTCAGAAACCTCTGAAATTACAGCAGACCTACAACAGTGATGTCTGGAGTTTTTTTCCCCTAAAATGGCTATTTACAGAATCACAGAGTGGTGGAGTTGGAGGGGACTGGTGGAGATCACCTAGTCCAACCCCTTGCCAGAGCAGGACCCTCTAGAGCAGATCACACAGGAACCCAGGAAGGTTGGAATGTCTCCAGGGATGGAGACTTTCTGGAGGACAGGAGGTCACTGCCATTTGCCCTCCTAGCTTGTGAGACCTGTATGTTTAGTATCCAGGGAAATGCATGGGAAGCTTGTATTTTCCTGTAGTGGGTGTTGGGGAGGGTTGCTCAGCTCTGGTCTGGCTGCAGGGCTGTCATTGTTTGTGGCACTGCTGGGCAGGGGAGGGGTTGTGCTGTTCAGAAACCAACAACCTTAGAAGTGTGTGTGATGGACCTTGGAGGCTGGGCACAGGACAACAAAGCAACAACCCTGTTTAATTTTCTTGTCCACTTCAATTATTGTACATGGCCAGTCTGTAGAACTGAAGGTGTTCCATGGAGTTGCTCGAAGAGTAAGGAAGTGAGGTGCTTGGATTTATAATTTTGTAGGGTTTTCTTTGCTGTGTATTTATTAGTGCCCTTCCCTTGTATATCTCTTAGTCTCCTTCCTGAGTCCTGTCACTTTTTGTGTGGCATTTTTGGGTACTGTGCTGGAACCCGAACTCTTTGTGCCACCAGACGTTCTCATGTGGTCAGCTGGCTGGGGACACTGCTCGTGACTCAAACAAAGGGCTTTTTCATGTGTTGGAGGATCACTTCCAGGGATGGTTCCCTCTGCAGCTGCCTGTATTCAAGGAAAGGGCAGCTCCAGACCATCAACAAGTGCTGTGGGCACAGGGAGAGATTTTCTTAGGCACCACTGTGGGTTTTTGTTGATTTAAGGTGTGTGAAATTCCATGTATGCCTCAAGCAGATTGGCTTTCCTGCTGCAGGGAAAGCCTGCTCTGCTTTAAAAGAAAAAAGATGACAAAAAATCCACCCTTTATCATGGTGGTGGGCTCAGTTCCTTCTTCGTCTTGTCCTTTGTGGGTTTTAAGGCCAGCACTGGTACTTATGCTCAGTATTTAGGAGACTTCATAAAAACAAAGTATTGCCATTGTAAATGTTTGATACTTTGCCAACTTCCGTAGTTTATGGTTATCATCAAATTGGCTCAGTTTTTAGAATAATTTATTTTTTCTTCTTCTTGGAGCCTGCATACTGAATTGAGCCTGTATTTTACAGGATCATAGGATGGTTTGGGTTGGAAGGGACCTTAAAGATCATCTAGATCCAACTCCCTGCATGGGCAGAGACATCTTCCACCAGCCCAAATTGCTCCAAGCCCCCCGTTCATTTTCTTGCCAACAAAATGACATAAAACACAACAAATTACACCAATGTACAAACTGAATTTTGAAACTAGCCTGTTGGCAACGTGTCCTGTGCTGTGGAGCTAACCTTCATCTTCTTTTCCAGGGCAATCACTTTGACCAGTATGAAGAAGGGCACCTGGAGATAGAGCAGGCATCGCTCGACAAGCCCATAGAATCGGTAAGACACACACTGCCCAGCAGCACCGACCCGGCAGTTAGACCCCGATCAGATGGTACTTGATGTGAATGCAGTCAAATCCCATAGGCCTGGGCATCCTTCTGGCAGTAGAGTGTTAATTGTGGTGGTAAATTGCATGCTGAGATTTAAGTGGGCCTGGGATTTAATCTTTAAGTACTTCTAAAACTCTAAATTGTAGTTGGACGTGGTACTTCAGGAATTACTGAAAGTAATACATTCATTCATAGATATTTATTTTAAGTTTTGACACTTTTTGTTGAAGAATCAGTTTAATTCCTGTGCAAACTTGATGGAATAGTGCAGGAAAATGTATTTTGAGCCTTTTTTTAGTTTATATTTTTTGAAAACTCCAGGTGTGTTAAAGGGAATTGTTAGAATGACATCTGGCAGTAGGGAAACACAGATGCATTAGTGTTAGTGTAGCAGCTCTGCCCCAGGAATCTGAAACTGCACCCTGAGTTGCTTTAAAGCATTGCTTTGCTTTGAACTAGGTGTGGAGACCAGAGCCATAAGTTGAGGAAAGCAAAACTTCGTTTAGTTTTGCCTTTGGAAGCTTTTTGGAGCTTTTTAGAGTTAGGCACGATAGCTTGTTCAGCCTAAACTGGACCCAAGTTTGGCCTTAGCCAAGTTTCCCTTGTAGTTTCAGTATGAGAGCAAGAAAACTTGTAGTGGATAATCAAGGGTCACTTTGAGGTGTTCAGATTAAGACTAGAGTTTTGTTAAGAAAGTACCTCGAAAGTATTTCAGTTCCCTCCTAATAATTTCAGTTCTTGATTCAAGTTTCTTCATGTTAGTCTGCACTCAGAAGAAACTTAGCCAAAGATCAGTATCTATTTTTCATTCATGTGTAGGTTGGTGTTGTGTGTGTTTGTGTGCGTGTTAGATGTTTACCAGAAATTTACACAACTTGGGGTGTTCGACATTTTTCTTCCGCAGCAGTTGGCCCATATTAGCTAAGCAGCCATGATCTGGTTTGTATTGCACGGTCTGCCTTTTTTAATTTCTTCTCTAGGGTTTCCTTTCCCCCCCTTCTTATTTCTGTTCTTCTGGTCCAGTGAACACTGCATATAGTACCTACTGTCTTAATGTGCTGGCATGATGCTAGATTTAGGCATGGCAGTAATTGATGACGCATGAGATAATGCTGCAGAGATGGGAATTTGGATTCCATGTTCTCCTGAATAGTTCAATCTTAAGTTGTGCCATGGGGATCTTAATTCAAACATTGAGCTTGTTTCCTTATGTAAACATAATGAGGAATACCTGGTAGCCTGCTCTGTGCCACGCTGGAAATCAACATTTCCAAAGAATTCAAATACTTCTTCCTGACTAGGCTGGTGATCTGATTTCTGAAAGTGTTTTCCCAATCAGAGGAGTAGAAGTGGTCAGAGATGACTCCTGATGCCTACAGAAGCATGCAGTGTGAACAGGCACACACTGCAGCTTGGATCAGATGTAGTGCTTCCATGCAGTTTGATTAATGTGGAACTGCAGCAGAAAAATGAAACTCAATTACAGCTTTAATATTTTATTCATATATATGTCACCATCAGGACATTATTAATCTCTACAACTTTTTGGTAGGTTTTACTATGTAGAGTTGAACCTTATGGTTCAATTTGAAAACAGTTTGATGGAGAGGACAACAGAATGGCTTGCCTCTTTGGGAGGAGTAAAAGTTAAAGCCTCAAGCTGTTCTTAATTTAAAACCCAGTTGGCTTTGCTCTTCTTTTGTCTGTAAGAAGAGCAACAAGCATTTGAGGTGCAAGAGCCCTAGGCTGGGACATGAGACTGGGATATGAAGGAGTCCTAGAGCTGAGCAGATGTGTGTTGTGCATTGTCACAGCAGCTGTGCTCAGGTCAGTGCACCCTTGAGCTGCCTTCATGTGTTGGTCACGGAGTGGAAAAGCTGTGCCCTGCTGCACAGGGTGATTTTTTTTTTTTTTTTTTTAGCCTGGTATCAGAAACACACTGGTCACTTTTAAGGCTAATCTTCACATTGTCTTAAGTACATGATTGGTTCCTAAAATTAAATCCTGTAGCTGGAAGCATGAATAACTTTGTCAAGTTTCCTGCTGCCTGTGAAGATGATTTTGCTCTGTTAATGACTTGTGTGCTTTTAAAATTGGTGGATTGCACATATTAAGAGAGGGAACATCTTTCTTATCAGAGTGTAGTGGTGTGCCACTCCTGCAAGATATTTCACTAGGAAAGGGGAGTCCATACCACTTATTTCATCTTGTATTTTATGCTTTTGGCTTACCCAGAAGTGGATAACATCCTTGAACTTAAATTGAGAGGGAAGGAGTCAGGACAAGTATATAATTTGCAAATACTGCACGTCAAAATATTTGCAGTATTAACATTTATTCACAAATTGTTTTATAATCCTTACCCAGTTTTCTTGTTAGCAGTGCAAGTGACCTTTAAAAAGGAATCTGCTCAGAGTAATGAGTAAGGGCCTAGGATTCACATTATGGAAATAGTTGGGATGACAGATGTCTTTGTGTGAGGAAGGGTGTTTATAACAGCAGCAGATCAAAGCACTTCCCAGTTAAAAGTTTAAGGTCTGGTTATTCTACAGGCTGAAAAGTGGATTAAGTGTATTTTCTCGGATGTGTTTCTCACATCTTAGTGATATGAAAATGCTTTAAAGACTAAAGGTAGCTGTATTTGGAAATCCCAGGGGGCAGAGGGCTTCACTTGAGGTGTACATTTGACAATCACTGAAGTGAGATCCATCTCTGCAGCATTATCTGTTGAGAGGTGCTGACTGTACTGCTACAGCATGCAACTCAAGGGTGGCTGGAAAAATAGGTTTGGGAGTCTACAGATCATTACAATGTTGAAATGTGTCCTCAATTAGTGTACTAGTATATATTTTTTTCCTGTGGAAATCCTGCTTTTTACAGCTTGTTTAGGCCAAAGATGTCTGGACTGAAACATGCGACTGTAACCAAAGTGCATTTCTGGAAAACAGAGCAGACATGAGCTAGTGGATGGATGTAGCCTGAAGGAGAAGCCAGCTATTTTCCATGACTAAATGGAAGAAAATATTCATATCAATGGACTCTTCCTAGCTGCAAATCCTGATTTTTATTCCCCCCCAACCCCTCCAAATAACTTTTTTTTGGTTCTGCTTTGGAAGTTGATGCACTGGCTGTTCACGTCAGTAGAACCACTGGTATCTGGTGTCCTTGAAAAATCCAAGCACTTAATCCTTTTTTTAAATTCAAGAAGCTGCATGCATTTGTTTTAAAGTATTTTAAGTGCACTGAGTTACAAATGGGAAGCCACAAAGTACTGCAGCTTTAATAGAATCCAGATTTTCTTTGCATTAATTCCTTATTTCTCCTTGTTTACTGAATCTCCTTGCTGTGAGTTCCTAGTTCTCTGTCCCCGGCAGTGCAGATGCAGGAGGAGATAGCCCCATGTCCCCAGGGCCCAGAGGACAGCAGCCCTTCCTTGGGCAGGCAGGTGCAGTGTCAGGGACACCAAACTGTCCCCGTTGCAGGTTGGAGGCCAGACTGTGCATCACCCACTTATCTTGGAGCTCATTAGTTTGTCCTTGTCATAACTAACATATCCTTTTCCCCCCTTTTCTAATTCTGCCCAGTTACACAAGGAGGTCCCTGGACCACAGGAGCTTTCAGGCTGTAGTCAGTAGTGGTTTGGCCACCCCAGGCTGTGGCAGAGGAGCTGCAGCCAGGTTTTGTTGCACTGCATATCTGTACAGATCTGTGGACTCCACTAGTTCCAAAGTGTCATTTGATGAGGCTGCTGATTTGACATTTAGCAGTAGCCATATGTGGACAGTGCTATAAATAATGTGCTTCTTGAAGCTGAATGGTGTAGCATTACTATTTGGCTTTTCTCTCTAAGTCTTCATTGTGTCATCTGTAGTGAGCTATAGGTTTTGTTTTGGGAATCTTTTCAACCTCTTGTTTGCATGGGTTCACCCAGTAGCATCCGATCCTTGCTTATAGATTCCTCCATACACAGTCAGCACAGCTTACAATCCACTCAAGAGGTGAATGGTTCATGCTGAGCCCAAGAGATGTGAGCACAAGACATAGGGTGGCCTGGGGATCTCATGGAAAACCTGGATCAGGCAAAACCAGTGTTCTAGTTTATCTGAAATGCAGCTCAATCCACCCACTGCAGTTTGCATCCCACGTACAACATCATCAGAACCTTGCAGTTCTTGTACCCATCTTCTCATTGTAGATGTATTTTTTTTTTCTATTGGACAGGAAGGACCTTTGTAAAAAATTTGTGGTGAGAATATCCTGATCTCAGGAATTACTGATACCTGTGGAAGGCAATCCAGGGCATCCTGTCAGGGCCCAGGATGGGGAAATGGGAAGGCCAGTTTGAGCTGCTGGAGAAGGTCACTTTGGATGAGATTTTTCCAAAGTAGCTTAGTCAGCTCCTGTGACCCTTGGGAAAGTCAAGACCTGCACGTTTCCTACGTGCTTTTGGAAGAGTTCTCCATCTGCAAATAGAAAAGATCACCATTGAACAGCTCCAAAGGTGTGACCTGTCCCACCAAGAGCCTGCCCAGCCACTGTCTGGCCTGAGCATCCTGCAGGCTGGGGCCCAGCATTGTCCCCAGCACCACTGGCCCTGCCAGCTGCAGGCATGAGGAGCTTGGGTGGTAAATGAGAGCCCACTTGCTCACTCAGACACCTCTTGGGAGACTTATTTTGGCTGCTTCAATAATTTTTTATCGTGGCTGTCACACAAGGAGCTGCAGAAGGGCAGAGTAAGAAGGTGAGGGGGCTTGTGGCAGCTCTGCTGAGAAACAGGAGGATTTGCTGCTGGTGTTTTTGTGGATTGCTGTGATTCTTCTCATAGGAAAAATTCCTACAACACGAGGATAGTTTATTTGAAAGGAATGAGAGTCCTTGACATCAACAGGAAGTTTGGTGTGAAAAAAGACATCTTTTCTATGTGACAGAGTCCACACTTTTACAGAATTTACACTTAAAAATGTAATAAAAAAAAAAAAAGCCACCAGCTGTTGAAACATTTGCTGCCCCATGGCAAATTTTGGTCCTAATATACCCAGCTACTTCCCAGGCCACCAGGCTTTGCAGAATGGCTCCAACATGGGAGCCCAGCAAGCCTGGCCTTTCAAAATTCAATTTTTAGGGCAGTATTTCTGCTGAAGAGCAGTCCTGCCAGTCTGCCTCTGTGGGAGCTCTGCCATGGGGTTTGAAATGGAGGAAGAAAGTGGCTAGAAATGTCCCATGTCAAATGTTAAATTGAACACTTAGGGTTTTTCTCCCTTTTCAGTAAAACAGCAGATGCTCTATTTCAATTCAGTATTTAAAATTAGGAAGTAGTTTCACTGCTTAGAGCAAATAAATGGAAGTGACTGGAAGGGAAAACACCCCCTTCTTGGGAACCAAAGCAAATATTCGAGTATAATTCCAATTTATGTCAAACAACTTGTGACCATCCTCTTGAGTGGCTTTGTAAAAGTGGTGCTAATGTGTATAACCCTTCTAAATTTTTCTTTTTTTCCCTTTAACATTTGTTTACCCCTTCACTGTGTCAGTCACAACACACCGCTCTTGAATCTCCCAGCTGGTCTTGACTTGTTGAATTTATTTTATGCTTTCACTCTTCTTTAATAAATACATTACTTGCAAGCAGTGAATTGAAAACAAAGCAAAAGAAAAAAAACTACCATTAGTGATTGGACAGTTTCTTACTTTGTGTTACATTTAACTGTTCTTTTGACAGCCCAGTTTTTAAAGCCAGGTTCGTATGGAAATGCTTTCACTCCACTTGCACTGCTTTTGGAAATAGCATATTGCTTCATCTGTCTGTTTATTTTAGTGCATTCATAACACAACACAGTCAGCACAATGTCTCATCTCCACTTAGCCAAAGATTGCAAAGTACTCCTTTTCCTTTTCTTTTGATTGTGTTGGTGTTTTTTTTGGAAAATGCAGCCGTTTTGGTCAGCACGGGCTTTTAAACTGGGATTTCATAATCCTTGTGCGATTGGAACGGTAGAGAAATTAGCACCTTGTCCACAAACCCTTTGAACTTGGGGCCCCTTTTGCATGCAGGACCCTGCAGGTGGTGTTGTGGCCGTTGCAGAAACGGTCTGCAGCAGAGTGTGGTGTGCAGGTAAGTTTTCCTACCCCTCCCAACCAATGGTGTTTGTGATTGGAATACACATTTGTTAATTTTTCCTTTTTTTTTTTTTTCACCTACTGATTTAAAAGGCAGTTCCTTCTCCTTTTTAAAATTTACTTTCAGTTATGCAGCCCTAATTATATCCTGAGGGAGAGCCAGTGGTGTGGGCAAGATGTACACTGTTGCCTTGAAAACTACCGCAAGATGGAATGTCTTGCTTTGCTGGATTATTAAAAAACAAAAATCAATATTAAATGGATAAAATCTTGTTGAGGAAACACGTATCCATGCAGCCAATATCTTTGGGAAGATTGTGTCTTTCCAGCTGATTCACCCAAGTTCTGCAAACCTGTGTGGTCATTTTCTTCAGTGTGGAGTGAGTGAAAAAACCCACTGCTGTTCTGGTTTCTGTTGATGAATTGGTTATTTAATTAAATAAACCTGCAGCATATATATCTATTTTTATTTTTAAGATTCCATGTACCACTCAATGTTACAGATTCACAGCCTGTTTATCATTCAAGATATTTGTGATATCTTGACCTGTGGTTTGCCTTAGGACAATTAATAATCCACAAATTCATCTCTGACTTTTATTTTTATTCTTTTATGATTAGAAGGTGAGCATTTTCCAAAGAGAGAGTCCTTCTTGGAGCAGCCTGTCACTGCTAGCGAGCTGATCAATGAGGGAGAAGCTGTTAGATGGTTACAGGGGTGCTGTTCCACTCCTGTGCTTTGGGGGGAGAAATCCTGCATAACACCATCATGAATTCCACACCCAGCCCAGTTTTCAAAAGCTGACACTTAATTGCTGCGTCAGTACTTTTCCACTTATTCTGAAATAGCTTTTTTTTTAGGAAGATGAGACATTATGCTTATTGTTTCCCCTACATGCACTAATGGTTCCTTGCTGTTAACTTATTGCTAGGCCTGTTTCATTCTAACATCTTAGTATTTTTGTTAGTTTACATGTGAAATGCATCACCCAGTCTGTGCTTGAGCTCATTTTATTTAATTGATTTTTTTTTTAATTTTTGTTTTACTAACCTCACTGTTTTTTCAGTTTAATATTGGCTGCATGCTAGTTTATATATATATACATATATAAAAAAAACCCAATCAAGTCTAGCCTGGATTTTGCTATGATTGTGTTTTGGTTTCTAGTGGTGGGGCAGTCTTGCACTTACAACTTACTCAGTATTATCAAAGCCTGACACACAAACAAAATGACTAAACACATTGTAGATTTTCTTGACAAAAAAACAAAACAAAATCTGAAGTGGTGCTGTCTAGGTGATGGATATGATTGTATAAATAGCTTGATTTTCTGCTTTTGACTGTCAATTTTTATTGGTACACTTTATTTTCTCCCACATTGCTTTTTATTTTTATTTTAAATGTGATGTACAAAAGTTGCCCAGCACACCATCAGAAAGTGACCCTCCCTGATCCCCCGTCCCCCTGGAAAAATTCTAGCCAGCAATTTTTGACATTTGTCTTTCCCTTTTCTCGGGCATATATTGCCTTTTCAGTAGCATTTTTTTGCATGCATATCTATGTAGAAAATCTCTTGCTCATCACATGTTTAAATGTCAGTGGGAAGGGAAGAATATATTATTGGAATATTTTTGGTTTGTTTTCTCTGTTCTGTCTGTCAGGATAATATTGGACACCGCTTACTCCAGAAACATGGGTGGAAGCTGGGCCAGGGATTGGGAAAGACACTGCAGGGTAAGTCCAGTAGCTTGTGTCTGTAACGTTCCACACCACCTTCAGTCTTTAATAAAATTATTTCTGCTTTTTTTTGTTTTGTTTTGTTCCTAGATTAGATTTTCTTTCCATTATTAATGTATTCAAACAATGCACTCTTGAGTTTCATATTTAGCAGTTTGCAAGTGGAAGCTGCTGCCTCGCTTGTTGGTCCAGGTTAGACATGATGTGTGTGTCGTGGACATGTAAGAATCACTGTGTTTGGCCTTTGTGGAGGGAGGTGAATTAACTGCCTACTTACTAACAGGTAGTTGTACAGCTGCTAAAACTGTAATACCCTGCTGGCTGGATGCTTTGACATGAAAAGAATTACAAATTCAAGCTAGTGACCACATGTGCATGTTCCATGGTGGTGTCAGAAGCCATTAGAAGGTGTGTCAAAGGGCCCACCGAAGGCTGAAAGTGGTGGCAGGGGTTCTGATGGATGGGAGAGGCTCACTTCCAGTTTCTCCAGCAGGCTTTCATGGGATGGACTGAATTCTGTTCCCCCAAAGTCTATTTGTCAGGAATTTAGGAAATTTTGAGATGCTTCAGTGCTAGTTTTGAACCAAGGCCTTTGCTTCTCATTCTGTCTTGAGGCTAAATTCTTCCTGTGACACTAAATCCTGTCATTTCAACTGAGCCACTGCTGCTCAGTTCATGTGGGTGGCTTTAGCCATTCCCCTGGCCAGCAGCTCCTGTCCTGCAGAGCTCCTGGCCAGCCTGGGAGCACACAACCATGTTGTGTTGAGAAAAGCTGAAGGTAGTGCTTCCTGACCCAGGCTGCCTGTGTGTGCAGCAAGTGAAGTGTTCACCACAGGCACAGCCCATGTGCCTGGGCAGCTGCTGGAGAAACCTCTCCAGGTATTTGAAACTGAAGCAGGTCCCAAGTTCCTCTCAGTAACTTAACTTGTGTTCCCACACCCTTAGTCTGAAGACCTGGAAGCTTGTAATTGGACTGCATGCCCCTGCAGTGAGCCCGTTAGAGAGATCAGTATTTCTGTGCTGTGGAGAACTGCCGAGAGGTAACGAGTTCTCTGGGCCCTGGGAATGCTTGTTAACCTCTGGGACTAGGGCACTCTAACCTCTCGGACAGGACTGTGTTGGTGGTTAATGCTTCTTGCTTCCTCTAACATGGTTTCATTTGAAATCCTCTGGTTCATGCATGGCACTCTTCCAGCCCTCTGGTGTCCCGTGCTGGTGCCAGAGCTCAGGACGTGGTTGTATTTGTCACCTCTTGGGCTTCTGCTTTGGCATGGCCTTCACTGTCTGTGGCGGTTGGTCTGCTTTTTTGTTTGGGTGTCCTGTATTGCTCTGTGCATCACCAGTGTGGAAACACGGAGACTTGAAAGCAGCTACAGCCCTTTCCCAGCCCCAGAGAGATGCCAGAGCACAGCCCCAGGGGCCCTGTGCTGTTGCAGGCACTGATGTGACAGAGCAGGCAGCAGATGAGTGCACAGTCTTGAGTTTGGGGCCAGAGGGTGGTGGCACCATGTCCTGAGGAAAGAGAACCAGGGCTGCCCACAGGGTTGATCAGGTGTTTGCATTGGGATACTTGTCCAGGTTTTGATTTTCCCACTGTGCATCTTGAAGAATTGAATCCATCATTATTGAAGCTCTAGTGATTTAAACTGTCTGGAAGCTACAGAGAAAATGTGGGTATGGGCTATGAGGGTTTTCTTTAGCCTGGAGAAGAGAAGGCTGAGGGGAGACCTTATTAATGTCTTTAAGTGTCTAAGGATGGGTGCAGGGAGGATGGAGTCAGACTCTGTTCAGTGACAGGATGAGGGGCAACAGGCACAAGCTGGAACATGAGACGTTCCATTGAAATATGAGGGAAAACTTCTTTACAGTGAGGGTGACAGAGCCCTGGGACAGGCTGCCCAGGAGGGTTGTAGAGTCTCCATCCCTGGAGATACTCAGAACCCACCTGGATGCAGTCCTGAGTAATGTGCTCTTGGTAATCCTGCTTTAGCAGGAGGTTGGACTAGATGATCCCTAGAGGTCCCTTCCAGCTCTGACAATTCTGTGATAATTATCTTTTCTTGTGCCTTCTGCATTTTAACAGGAATGCAGGAGTAAACTAGCCCATCTAGTTTAACCCAAATGGGTGCTGAAACCTTCCTAACATAGGCTTTGCAGAAGGTACAGGGATTGTTTAGTGCCTTTCACTCAGAAGGAAAGCAGCAGCCTGTCCAGCTGACAGACAGACAGACAGCCTGTGCAGCTGAGGTGCCAAGGAGGCAGAGCATGTGGGTCCCTGCAGCTCCTGTGGGTCCCTGCTGCCCCCAGTCTGCTCCACATAAAGCTGCTCCCATTCAGGAGCAGCTAGAGCCTGTGGCTTGGAGGATGATCCTGTTGGGAGCATTAATTCATTATCCAATCACCTTTTTACATGAATCTTAAATCATCTCAACATCCAAGTATCAACTGCCTGGAAGGAAACATTTGCACCCAAGGTTTATTTTATTCTAGGAGTTAAAAGGGTAAGGTCACTTGATGTGCACTGAGAATGGAGAAGAAAACCAAAATATTCTGCCCCTTTGCTGTGCTCCCTTCTTGCTCAGGATAGACCAGGAGAGATTTCTGAAGAGAAATAAGAGTAGCAAACACAGAGCATCTCTGGGAATTACTTGCTTTGGGCTGTGCTTGAGCCTAAATTTTTAAACATCCTATGGTCGAGTGGTACAGAAGGAGAACCACTTCAAGTTGTCTTTAGTTGTGGACCTGATATCTGACCTCCTGCATGTGGCCTTTGTGACTAACCCTTAAAAACCTAAATTTGGGGTTACATACAAGGAATTGAGATGGCCCTCATCTTTCCCCATACAGTTAGCTTTAAACAAATAGGAAGTTATGAGTTCAGTATGCTTATTTTTATGTAGTTTTTAATTGTAGCTACTCATCTGAACAGGAGTTCCCTCTTTAGTTTTGGTGAATCCAAAAGTTAGCTACTTTATACTTGCTGATCATAAATCCTAGTTTCTGGTAGTAGATTAGTTATGTAGTTCAACAAGAACATCCTGTTGCAGTGCAGTTGTGATGGCTTCCTCAACTTTAACCACCTACTCTGGAGTAAATCCTGCAGTGATAGTGGTGAACTCTCTGTGGATGGTAGCTGGAATAGCCTGAAATTCACACTTACCAATCGCTGGTGGTACAAGTCTGCTGTTGGAGTACAAAGGTACCCAGCAGACTGGCTCATTCCTCAAAGTTTCAGAAGCAGAGCAATTTTGTACCTACCAGGGCTGCTGCCTTGTGGTGTAACTCTTGTTAAGTGCTGGCAGGAGCACTGAGCTCCTAGGTAAGAATTGTAGAGTCACAGAATGGTGAAGGTTGGAAGGAACCTCAAAGATCATCAGGTTTCAACCTCCATTCTATGAGGGACACCTCCCACCAGACCAGGCTGCACAATCCCAAGTGCCTTCCTACCCTCATGGTGAAGAACTTCATCCTGATGTCTCACCTAAATCTCCCCTCTTTCAGGTTAAAACCATTCCCCCTTGTCCTGTCACTGCCCTCACTGGTGGAAAGTCCCTCCCCAGCTTTCCTGGAGCCCCTTCAGGCACTGGAAAGTGCTCTAAGGTCTCCCTGGAGCCTTCTCTTCTCCAGGCTGAACACCCCAACTTTCCCAGCCTATCTCCAGAGCAGAGCTGCTCCAGCCCTTGGATCATCATCAAGAAGGCATGTCCCTAACGACACAGCTGTCATTAGAGGAGCTGTTGTTCCAACTGCAACACACCTGCATCTTTTGTTTTATTTTAGATGTGTGTCAAGTGGATTATCAGGGCTAGTGCTGTCCTCTCTGGCTACTCAAGTGCTGGAACACTGTCTGGGAGAAGCTGATCAGGAATTCAGCAGTCATTCCTCTGCTCATCTTTTCTCCTGATGCTTTTCACATATTTTATATTTTTTTTTCTACAAAAACCCTGGTGTTATATTTGGAAATGATGCTTGTGAGCAGCCAGTGAACATGAGAAAGCAGAAGAGAGGGTTGCCAGTTGTCAGGGATCTTTTTTGATCTGGGAAGTGTGGTTTGAGGAACCACTTTTCTACAGCGACTGTGAGATGGTTGTGCTCTAACAAATGGTGACTCTAGACAGTGTTCTTTTTGGAGGGCAACACGTGCAATGGATAATGTAGGATTTTGTGGACTAGTGAAGAAATAAAACTAGCAAAAGATGTGGTTAAACACACTGTCTGACCTTGGTGTGAAGTCCTGTGCTAACTCAGGGCGAGGATTGTCAATAAATCAGAGGAGTTATGCAAGAGTCAGAGGGGGAGCCAGAGAGGGCTGGGTGAAATCTTCAAGTCAGACTTTCTCTTGGAATAATTAATCCAATTAAATTGAAGTATTATTATGAAAAGCATCAAGAGACTGATATGCAGAAGTGGTATCATTTTAATCATAGGCTTGAAAATATTTGTAGAAACTCTTCATATTTTCCCTGTGTTTTCAGTTTTCTTACAGTTCTTGTTTTGTAAAAAAAAATAATAAAATGGTGCTGAAAATTTCTGGTTTATCTTTTGGCCTTGTGGGCTCAGTAAGAGGCAATAGTAATGTAGAGGTACAGGTGCAAGGCTAAAACCAGTAAGTTAATCTCATTTAATTAGACTAGGGAGAGCTGAGCAGAGGAAGGGAATGCTGTCCTTGGGAAGACAGAGGCTGTGGACTTGCTTTGCCAGAAAACACGAGAGAGTGTGTGACTTCATTTGGTGTGCTCAGGAAGAGGATAATGTGTAGGGGACAGAGTGACATGACCTGGCATTTCAGACTGGCTGGTGTTTTAATTTGGCTGTCCTGAAGTCAGTCATCTAGCTCATCTGGGGAGTGACAGACAAAAACCTGGAGGGCTGTGGGATGGGGTCAGGACTATCGTGTGTGTGGTGGGAACAGCTGGTAAATGAGGGCCGGGTAGACCTGATGGCTGGGAGCAAGCAGGCTGGAAGGGTCATGTCCCCGTCTCCAGTGTCACTGAGCT